AGGGGGTCTCACTACAGGTCTCTGGTCTCATTACTCTGTGTAATTTCACCTTGAAACTAGTAAGAACAGAAATTGGAAGAAAGCTTCTTAATCTCTCCTTCTAACATCATCATCCCAAGAAAGCAAACTTTACAGATTCCTAAAACCAATTTTTTTTTTGCCTCCAAAATGTTCTCAGTCATTAAAAAACCAGATAAAGAAACTAAAAGGAAACCATTAACTAATTGTAACTGGAAAGACTGGTTAACCTACTAAAAATTTTCACATTACTGATAATCTATACACTTTTAAAATGAATACCTTTCCTTGAGAACAAACTGTTTTGTGAGGTTTAATGAAGCTTCTGAGATGAGTTAGAAATTACAATTTTGCACCAAAAAAAAGTCAAAGCTCAGTCAAAAGCCCTTCAATCAGCTCAGTGCACATTAGATATAAGCATCCAGCCAGCACTCATCACACACAAATCTCATCTGAGCCAAATGGAAACCCAGGGTTATACAGGTCAGACAATGATACATGCTCCAGAACATAAATAATAAACATAAGCCACCAGGTTTATCTTAATGTGTAAAACCCACTTATGCTCAACCAAGGGAAATAAATTATCTTGAAACCAATGTAGCCATATTACGACAGCACTTGTCACTGCTCATTATCAACGAGCAATCAAATGTAGCAGCCTGGTCACCATGAAACACATCACAGTTATTCCATAGGCAATGGGGAAAAAGGGCACAAGAATTTGTCAGTGAACACATTATCCCAATTTTAAGGACTAGGACTAACCAGAATACACACCTACATTGAGAATGGCTCTAAAACTGGGTATCATTCATTCATTCCTTTAACATTCACAGAATACCCACTACACGTGTTCTCTGTACGCTATGTCGGACTCTGTCCTGGGGAGTGTGAGAAGACAAAGATGACTGAGACCTACTCCTGACCTTGAGGCACTCAGACCTAGCAGGAGACACACAGACACAAAATTACAATACAGTGCTGTAGGGAGATAATAATATGTATAAGATGAGTACTTAGGAGATAAAATTATGTACAAAGAAAATTACCTCTGGCCCAGCCAGGCGTGGCTCAGCGGTTGAGCACTGACCTAGGATCCAGGCGATCACAGTTCGATTCCCCGTCAGGGCACATGCCCGGGTTGCGGGCTCGATCCCCAGTTGGGGGCGTGCAGGAGGCAGCCGATCAATGACAACTCTCTCATCATTGATGTTTCTCTCTCTCTCTCTCCCCCTTCTCCCTTCCTCTCTNGAGGGAGATCACCTTTGCAGGGTGAGGTGTCACTGAAGGGGAGAACTTTGGACAGTGTGTTTATAAATAAAAAAGGCTTTCTCAAAATACAGAACTGGAAGAGAACAGAGCCTTAAATTTTTATAAAAATTATGTTTACCGGCTCAGCTGCTCTTAAAGCAAATGGGCTCATTTCTAAGTGACAACACAGAATGTAATACTCCAGGTCCTTTATAGTTGAGGGCTATACTGAAATCGGCGCTGCCCAATGGCTAACAAATGCCAGCTAAGAAATCAATGCTCATGGAGGATTTCCATAAAGAGAAGTGATCCATCCGGTCCTCCTGTCTGTCCTGGGCAGGAGGAAGGGAGAAGCAGAGCTGAGCACAATGTACTGTGCACTAGGCTACAGAATGGCCTT